CTCTTTCTATAACTCATATTCTTTTGCTGTCTTCCTCCAGGTGGAGAAAAAGTTGGCCACTGACCACCCTAGGCCTGTATCTTTACAACTCACTATCCAAAAGGAAGACAGTCTTTCCTACTATTTCTAGCAGAAAAGACTAAGGAGGCCTCTGATTAGGCCAACTTGGACAGATACTCATCCTTTCATTAATTACTGTGTTGAAGAAAAGGAAATAACATGATTGGCTTAATTGGGGCTTCCTAGGTGGTGCTGGTGGTAAAGAATCTGCTTGCCAATGAAGGAGACATAAGAGATGTAGGTTCCATCGTGGGTCAGGAAGATCCCCTGTAGGGTATGGTAACCCACTCCAGTATTCTTGCCTGAAGAATCCCATGGACAGAGGAGCCTGGAGGGCTATAGTCCACAGGGTTACAAAGAGTTGGACACAATTGAAGTGACTTAGCATGTGCACGCAGGTCTCATGTCTACTTCTGTGGCAGGGAGGATATGAGCACCAAAGATGACACCTCACAGTACCAGTAAGGGAGCAATTCTTCAAAAGAACTAGAAAGAGGATGGAAACACACATTGAACAGGCAATAGCCTACTGTAGCAGTTGAAATTATGAGAGTAGATTTCACTGCGTAGGGAGTTTGTAGATTGAGAAGAGCAGGAGGCAGAAAGGAAGAGGAGCCCATTAGTAAGAAATAGATGATTATGAGAACCAGCAGTTTGATATCATGGACAAAAAGAGGAAATTATTTCCAGGAGAAATTAGGAGTGATAGTGTCAATGCAGAATAGTAATGTAAGGACTTGGCAATTAGGAATGAGAACACTAAAGTGAGCATAAAAGCCAGACTGCAGTTAGTTGAGGTGTTAGTTACATGTGAGTGTAGACAAGTTTTTTTGAGAAGTTTGTATGACAAGCTCTAAAGCTTAACCTATCAACTATATTCTGAATCAAAGTCCCTTTCATCTTTGGGGTGTTACTCCCTCAATAAACTCTTTTCCTTGGAGCCTATAACTCTCATGTGCTCCTTGCTATTTCAATGTTAAATACGCACCTATCCATTGACCAAATAAAGTGATGGTTGCCTTTTTTCTTTCTTTTTTGGTATCAGGTTACAGTCCTATTTAGGTATTCTACTCTCTGATGTTATAGAAAGAACAGATGACCAAAAGCAAAGAAAACCAGGTTATATTCTGATTCCTTTCAGTAACGTTGGATAAGTAACTTTCCCTCTCTGGGACTTAGCTTTTCATTGGTAAAATGAGCAAACTGAATCAAAATGAGCAAATTGAATCAGTTACCTCTTAAATTCCTTTCATGTCTAATGTTCTGTGCCTGAAAAGACTCTTCCTTCCTTCTCATCATTCTTTTTGCAGCCCTGCCCTCTATCAACTATGCTTGTCACCAAGAATGAGACAACGCATTCTCTCAACATGCATCACATCTGTCAGCTCAAACCTACGTATCTGTGATTTGTACAACTCTCCAGACTCCTATTTCCAGTTGTCTTTAGGATATAACCATTTTGATAGCCAAACTTGGCACCTCTACAACTGTTCTCAGAAACATGGCATTTCCCCAAACATACAGAAGAGCATCTTTCTTGCTCCTGGCACTTCTTTCTCCCAATCCAATTTCACGTGTTCTCACTTATTCCTTCAAAGTCACTCTCATCAAGACATTACCGTTTCAGAACATTTGGAGATGCCGGATTTCTTACCATGAGACCTAGCTTATGATTTCCTACTTTTCAATACTTTCAATAATTTGGTCTCACCTTATTCCACTAACTTCATTTCCCAAATTCAGTTGAATTCACTTCATTATGTGAGTTATTAGAAAAATCACTGTATTAACAACTTTCCAATTGTGTTCTTAAGAGACTGGCTGGCTTTGTAACCCAAGGCGTACTACTTCATTTCCCAAGCCTATTTCCTTAACTACAAAATAAGCTTAGTTTTACCTACCTCACAGAGTGAAGGAAGATGTATAAAGACAGCTAGAAAACTGTCACAAAGCACTGTGATTGTGTACAGGACAATGTGCCACACTCACACGTGCACACAGATGGCTTTACAGGCTTGCCTGCTCCCGCTCACCTTTGCTCATCAGTATTCTCTGCCATCTGGAATGCTCTTCCTCCTCTCCTCTTGGATGAAATATTCTCAATATTTCAAAGACTTTCTCCTAGTCTTACTGATGACTATGACATCTTATGTGGTACCAAAAATAAGAATCACCATGTATTTCAACTATTATGTGTCAGTGGAGTAAGGACTATAGTTTCTCCACACAGACTGTATACTGAGGGGGGATAGTCTACAGCACAAAGCTGAAAGCTGTTTCTCACCACACTCTTTTAAGCTGCATGACTGATCTGGTTTAGCTTCATTTAAGTGGGTAAGCATGATTTTAGTTTGGCAAGAAACTGATATAGGGGACTATGGAGTCATAAAACATGAGTTTCAATCCTGATTGCACCATTATGTCCCTTTGGGCAACTTTTTTAACCTCCTTGAGTCCCAGTTTCCTCAACTGTGAGATTAACGATAATTCCATCAACCTCAAAAGATTGCTGTGATTAAAGATACTGTTGCAGCAGGCAGGTAGCTAGATATGAGCAGAGAAATGGGGGCAGGAACCAGGGTGCAAAAGATCATGCAGCTTGTAAACAGCAGGGGTCCATGGACAGACAAAGTAAAGCAGACTGACAGGAAACCATACCTTTTGGGTGATAAGTGTTGGAGAAGAAAAGGAAGGTGGGGAATCTCCTATGTTCAAATGTGACCTGTTGCTCATTAGGCTCTCATTACAATAAAATTGGCCTTATATATAAGGACCCATCATGAACCAACACCATGACAATTACAAGCTAAATAAGGACAAAAATCCCTCCTGCCCTCTGAAAGATGAAGCTGGGATGAAAATCAGGGACTACTATCCCGAAACCCCTCCTTCCCCAGTAATTATTCCATCCCTTCATTTTTTTTCCATCCCTGCATTTGTATACCTCTCATAACGGGCTTGCCAAAGAAATCCACAGCAATAGCTCTGTCTGCCCACTCTTCTCCTGAGAGAGTATTCTTGCTCAAAGTCACTTTACTTTCTTAACTTCTCTGCTTGTCTCCTAATTCTTTTGCAATGAGGTAAGAACCTTAACTTCACTGGGAACAATAGTGATTATAAAATAACTATTATGGAACTTTCCTGGTGGTCCAGTGGTTAAGACTCCATGCTTCTAATGCAGGGAACATTGGTTTCATCCCTAGTCAGGGAACTAAAGTCCCACATGCCTGCGGAGTGGCAAAAACATTTAAAAACAAAACAAAACAAAACAACAGCACCTGGTAAATATTCTTTGCTCAGTAAATGTGACTTCCTTTCTAACTTGCTGGCTGTGCAATCCTACACAGCATTCGATATTTTCTGATGACAGTATATCTGAAAATACTATGCAGCAAATATCCCCCTGCCTTTCAGCACAAGAAAGGCAAATGCAAATTCTTTTTCCAGTGTTTTTTATTTGTACATTTAATATTCACAAATCATTTTACAGATTTTTTCTTTTCACAGGTTCTTTATAGGAAAGATGAGGATTAAAACAGCATATTGAAGAGGACCAAGAAATACCAGCAGTGATGATGCAGAGTACAAATGCTCTGAAAGAGAACAGAGTGAACAAGAGCAGCATGTGGCCACTTCCTAAGAGGCTGGAACACTAAATTCATTAAGGCAAAACCTTTATTTACTGTGTTATTTCTCCCTCCCACCTAGTTTACCCAAGTAGAAAAGCATTCTATTCTCATACTACTGCTCTCTGAGGTCTTAGGAATATAGCTGGTACTATATGTGACCAGCGGCATCACTTGACTATAAACACCTGAATAGACAAGTTAAATTTTGATGTGTTAACTATCCCTCTAGAAAAAATAAAACAAAGAGGCAGAAGCTGCTTGATTATTAAGACCTGATTCTTAAGATTCTTAAGATCCCTTAAGGGGGATGGAATGTGTGTCTGGTGGTGTAAGGAGGGGAGGGGCTCAAGGAGTGAGGGCAGCAAACCTAACTTCCCAATGTACAACTGCTCTTGTGTTTTTCTCAGATGCTGCTAAGTGTACTGCTCTAGTACTCAGAAAAAAAAAAGAACAGGTTATTGACCACCTACAGCTGTAGGTTGTAATGGCTAATAATGGGGAACATACCCTGGGGAGGGTTTATTTCATATGCATAACAATGCAATTCAAAACTATTGTCCTACTATGATCTCAGATAATGTGTTTTCCTATTTTAAATCAATTTACTGTGTGACCTCAGATGATTTAATTAATCTTTCTGTGCCTCAATTTTCTACCAGTAAAATGAGGATTTTGGAAAAGACCCTGATGCTGGGAAAGATTGAAGGCAGAAGAAGAGGGCGACTGAGGATGAGATGGCTGGATGGCATCACCAATTCAATGGACATGAACTTGGGCAAACTCCAGGAGACGGTGAGGGACAGGGAAGCCTGGCATGCTGCAGTCCATGGGGTCATGAAGAGTCGAATACTATTTGGTGACTGAACAACAACAACAAAATGAGGATTGTACCACTTTATGTTGAAGATTGGAGGAGATGCACTGGCCAAATCAACAGACACAGAAAGAAGACTGATGGCTGCCAGGGGGTGGGGAAAAGGGGAAAAGGGAGTGACTGCTAATGGATATGGGGTTTCTTTGTGGAATAATAGAATGTTCTAAAATGAGATAATGGTGATAGGTGCACTATTATGTAAATATACTGAAAAATCACTGAACTGTACATTACTTTAAAAGGGTGAATTTTGTGGTAAAGTGTATCCCAATAAAGATGTTATAAAAATTCTTAAAAAAATAGAAGTGTCTGGTACACAGTAAGTGCTCAATAAATGTTAGCTATTATTAGTAGTAATATTATTGTTACATTATTATTTAGCCATCCTATGGCCTAAGTAAATCCCTAGAAATTATTTTTAATAAAAGCCCACAGAATCCAGAAAAGTATTTCTATTTTACATATATGATATATGGATTAACATTCACACATTTATTTCTATCCAAATTGAGAAATGAACAGTTTAAGAATCACAATTTCAGTATTCTAATCTGGAATAAAACAACCGCATGCAATGGATGTCTGATCATATCAGGATAGGTTTTAGGTAAATTTCAATGACTTGATGCTACCCAAGAATCTGAAATGATGGGAGATTTTCATTTTCATCTCCAGGAATAAACAAGAAGTCCAAACACAGTAAGTGCTTAGATTATGCAGTGTACACAGTTAAACTTTCAAATATATGCTTACTAGCCTTCTAATCACTTTTTGGGGGACACTTTATAAAAAAACAACTAAACAGTAAAATGTTTACCATGCCCTGTGATCCCCCTCACCTTGCACAAAAGAAACTCCCCAACACAACAAAAAGATACAACTCAACTCAAGCAATAAGTCACTTAAGAGGCAAAAGGCAAAAGATCTGACAATTAGTGACTGAATTTTAACACTACTGCATAAAGATATTTGCATCAATTGAGTTTTTTATAATCTGAACAGCAATTAAATCCAGTCTTCAACTTTCCTATTGCTAGAAGAATATGACAACAGTCAATCTCAGAAGTAGGAGCAGCAAGTGATAAACCACAATGGCAGTAATGCACCACATTAGGCAATGATGCTCACATGCTTGAATTTCATCTAAAACATGAAACCTTCCAATTCTTGGAACAGAGTTTCCTTTGTTTGAGTCCTTTTCCCTTCTGGTCTTGCTTTCTATAATTAGCCATGTGCCTCTGCAGCAAATCAGGGAAAGTTGTTTTGAGGGTTACGACTTCCAGATACTCAGATCTTCTGTGCCAGAAAGCAATGCACTTTTTTGCATATATTAATATTTATTTATGCCCTCAAACTGACCATTCATTTTCAGAAAGATAATTTCAAATAAAACTATTCCTAAGTCACCCAAAACCAACAGATTAAAACAGAACAAGTTACCTTAACACCCAATATGTGTAATACCCTCCCTCTACCCCCAACCACACACAGACTCCCACCAAAGTTGTAGCCTTAGGAATTTCTGATCAAATATTTAGCCTGAGTAAAATTCAGTAAAGATTTAATTCCCTTTTAAGAAGCATGATTATTTCTTTCATTTTACATTATAATCATTGGGACAGATTACAAAACAACTTTGGAAGAGAGTGTGTTTTGTGAGACGTTAGAAAATTTCAGACAGTGGAAACGGATGACATGTTAGGACCAATTTCAAACTTAGAACCAGTTTCAAAATATTTCAAAATATAAATATTTACCAGTTCAAGAATGAAATATTGGCTCTGTCCTAACAGGATTCATTTTGAAATTGTAAAGGGAAATTGAAACAAATACATAACCAAAATATCTGGACAAGACTGGGACAGAGAGACCCACTTTGCAATGCTCTGTAATTGAATATCATTCCAAGGACTCATTTGTCCTAGTACTGTTCACTTGGTCTTGGTTAATCCAGGGATGGGGAAAATATACTTTTAAAATTACATATCAATGTGTAGGTCATCTTCAAATACAAATGAATAAATATTTAAATTTCATGATAAAGAAAAACGTGGAATAAGAAATTGCTATATTTGTAAGTAACTATATTTACAATGTTTTCTGCCTGACTCCTAATTTTTGTCTATTAAGAGTTCTTCACTGTGCAATTTACAGAAGTCAGCAGCTCATATTAACTTAAAGGAGCCCCAATTAGCTCAGAATCAGCCTGTCTCAGACACTCTGCTCCCTTCAGACTTGTGTGCATAAACAGCTGAGAATACAAGTAGGTGCACATGTGCAAAAAAGTAGCTGTCTAAAAGAAATCTAACTGGCTTTACAAATAGAAGTTTAAAACCAAGAAAATAAACTATTTCCCAACCTGAAAAACGCACCTAATCAAAAAACTGCTAAGCCCATTAGTAGAAAAGGTGGCAGCTGTAAACTCAACTCATCCTATGTAATGCTTTAAGCATGGAGCTGTTCTGTCAATCAGCCATCAGAACACTAAATCCCTCCACGTTCACATGGTTGAATGCAGCCTTCTGATTTAGCTTTACTTTCTAGTTAAGAGGCCAGACTACACAGAACAGCAAGAAATTCCTTCGAGTTATATGTCATTCTACCCTGAATAGAAGGTGCCCACATGATAATATGCATCAGGGACCTACCAATCTAAATTTCTGAGGTCTTCTACTTGGGTAAGTTCAAGCATTGGTCCACTAAGAGCTTCAGTCGAAGAAAAATTACATGCTCACTGCTAATATCTTAGCTTGCAAACGCAGAACTTGGGAGTAAGATTAAAATTAAAGTGTCACTGAGAAAATTAAAGTGTCACTGAGCTGCTATTAAACATGGCAGAGAGGTGACTATACAGAAAGACTAAAAAACCTTATGCTTTAGATGTCCTTTGATTTTTTTTAGGCAACAAGTGCAGAATTGTCTCTAATCAAAATCTGAATTTTGGTTAGTGCATATTTTCTCCTCCCACATCTATGAACCCCCTTCCCAACCTCTGTCATTGTCTTTTTAAGCTTAACAGAAATAAAATAGACAGGCTATCCCTTCTTATTTATGAAAAGAGAGGAATATTCTAATAGTCATAAGGCAATATGTTTAAGAGCTGCACCTGAACTGGTATTCTCAAAACTGAAAATATAGTTACCAACTCTATTCAACTTGCAGAATGAATCCATGTTGCTTTCCAAGTCATTGGCTGTCACCCAAATGAACCACAGTGATCCCATCATGCCTTAGGAAGCATTATATTGTGTGTACTATGCACACATATTTTAAAGAAGTAACATTAAGAGGGAAAGGACAGCTTTTCAAACAGTTCCTTACATAAATGGTGACGGTGCTTTATGGCTCCCTTTTAATCACCTCACACACCCAGTTACCAAGTAACTCCAAAACAGACAAAAGAAGACCAGAGGCAAAGCTTCATGGTGAACTGCATCTTTGAGATGAGTTTTGAATTCCCTGGTTTTTAATTTCCATTTACTGAGGAGTGAAGGTGAGAATCATCCAACTGATGACAAAATAAAACAAGAAAACAGGATAAACGGCAAGGGCTTTGCGGTTTGGAGGCTGGCTATCAGCAAGAAAAGCTGTAGAAGCTAAACAAAACAAAACAAAAGGAATATTTAATACAATACAAGTGTCACAACTATTAACATTTACTAAACTTGAATGTGCTTGGTATAGTCTGGGACACAGACTTATATACTACAAGTTCAGTTATATTTGTGACCTTAAAACTGCATTTGGCAGCAGCTGAGAGCTGCTTGGTTCAAGCATGGAAAGCTTCTTTCCAACCATTTTAGATAGAAACCTTTCTAAAAAGGGGTTTCTTACACTTTTCTGAGAAGCTACTGAACTATGCTAAAAAGGCTTACAAAGCTCCTATGCCAAATGGTCTCACACTGTTGTATTTTTTGAGTAACTGTTCTTATTATCAACTCTTCTATTATTTATCTATTTCTCTGGCTGTGCCAGGTCTTAACTGCAGCACACTGGATCTTCACTGCCACATGTGGGATCTTCACTGTAGCATGTGGGCTCTTTAGTTACGCCATGCAGGCTCTAAGTTGTGGGATGTGGAATTTTGTTCTTTGACCAGGGATCAAACCCCAAGCTCCCTGCATATGGAGCATGGAGTCTTAACCACTGGACCACTAGGGAGGTCCCTATCAGCTCTTTTAGATGCCAACCCTCTTGACCACTCAGGAAATACCTACTCACCTTTTTATTCAATAATGATCCTTCAAGGAAATCTTTCCTGAACAACCATCTGGCATCCTACCACCCCAGGCAGAACCGCCCACTTACCTCTTCTGTGTCCCCACTATACCTGGCACAGACTTCCATTGCCCACCTGGAACACTTCATGGCCCTTAAGTGTTTACATGCCTAAATTGTGAACTCAGAGGATAGACACCATGCCTAGCACAATGCCTGACACATAGTTTGTGCTTAATACACATTAGCTGAATTACAAGTACCTCTCTCTCTTCTAAGATTCTACTTGCTGAACCTCGGTGGGCCTGGACACTGGACAACTAAGCTATTTAGAACTACATGTACAGTAAATTATCAGACTCTAAGTGAGGAAATGAGGGGTTTTTCCATAGGCAGTTGAAGTGCTCAAACTTAATAGTCTTTGGGACAGCAGTTCTGGCATTCTCAAACCTTAGTTTGGATCACTTCTTGGCTTTTAACCATTTTCTAAAACAAAGAGATGTTACTGCACACAAAAATATTGGGCAGCCTATCTATCCCATTAAAAAGAAGCTAGTGAACACTTACAGTTTAAGGTGGGATTTCAAGAGAATTTTAGGGATGTACAAATAATGAATAAATAGCATTCATCGCCACTGCTACAGGCTCTCCTTAATCTTTAGCATAATTTTCTACTGAAGCAGAAACGTACTATGTAATGATATATAACAACCTATACTGGGTGGTGCTATAGTACAGTTCTAAAAAGGTATGTGATCTACTTGGGTTTGACACTTGACTCCCCTATTCTCTAGTTATGTGTCCTAGGGCAAGTTGCTTAACCTCTCTCTGTCTGTTTCTCATCTATAAATATGGGACCAATAATAACACAGTTTTTATTTATTACAGTTGTTGTGAGGGTTAAATGAGATGACATAAATCAAGTACTTATGACAGTTCCTGGCCTATAATAAGTAATCAGTAAATGCTAACTATTATCATGATTAATTTGTCTGGAAAAGGCTCAAGTTATTTCTCAAGTCACCTATGCCTCCTATATGCCAGGACTAAGTTAGTTCTAGTGTAATGTCCTTTCCCAACCCTATCCATTATTTAAAGATTGAAGAAACGAGAAAGATGTGACTCCACATCTCAGAAGTCCAGATAGCCAACTCAGATAAAATGGACGTTATCCCTACTGAGAGCAGATGGTTCTATGGATGACATTAGCAAGAATCATATCATTAATGTGACTTATAAGTTACACTTCTCCTCACCTGGTCTTCATCTCTAACCCATATTTTCAGTCTGCTCTGCTACCACAGACATTAAGTACATTCTTACCTACTATAGACCAGGCAAACATGATGATCACCACAAAAAGCCGGACCATGAAGTTTACTGGTCCTGGCTCAGCCAAAAGTACCAGCCGGCAAACCAGCATTGCCATTGTCAGGGGAAGTATACAGTATCCCAGCACACAAAGGCTCTGAAAAAAAGATCTAGAAAACAACATATATCCATAAAGATCATAAATATAGTTGATCTATATCATGATGCAATTTATTATACAGATTTCTATGTATCATGGATCATTACTTTCCTCCAGATAGATATTACCTATACCCTAATGTTCATTTTATGATAGGCCTCTGTATTAAACATATGCCTTAGTTTTTCTTTCCCCATACTCTCCTCCTCTCCACTTTAACGCCTTAACAGTCAGCCATTTAGGATCTAGATGATCTACTCTAATTCCTAGAGACCTCTTTCTCCCAGTAAACTGCTAAGATTTTGTTTCTTAATCTTTTCTGGTTTATAGACCTATTTGAGCATTTGTTGAAAGCTATGGGGCACTGTTCCCAAAGACAAATGTAATCTTCTAACACAAAATGTTCTGCACATAATTTCAGGGGCTGGAGAGAGAATATCTGAAGCTTATCAAAGGATCCCAGATAATTTAACATAATTTAATTCAACTAGGTTATTTCTGTTCAGTGTCTTTAAGAGAACTTTCTTTTTGCTCTCATTTATTGTGATTTTTCTTTTTGAAAAATACATAACAAGCCAGACTTCCTTAAAAAATCTAAGATATGCAACCTGGAAATGGAAAAAGAATGCATTTTAATAATACTCACATGTTTCCTCCAAGAAGTTTTGAGTTGAGGGTGATGGTAACTGCACCAAACCAGACAATGACAAACACTTCTGCAAACTGGGGCCCTCCATCTTTTTCGCTATCTACAGAGCCTCTTTGAAGCATTCTGTGACAAGGAAATGGCATGAGAATTGCCTAACCTTATTTAGAGCAACACAGTTAAGGTATGGGTTCTCAAACTTTGAATCAGGGTGCTGCTCTATATCTTGCCTGACGATCTCTTATAGGTTGTACAAAAGGAAAATGCCACAAGTATATAGCAAGGCTATAAGGGATGCCCCCTTTGATGCTGTGGGAATGTTTAAATGGATTACTGAAGACCTTTTTTGGTTAAGCAGAGGATATAAACTGAAGGCCTAAGTGTGATTTACGGACACGAGATTGCTGGTCCATATAATACTTTTAAAAGGTCTTAAATTCAAGTTGATGTTATTTTAAAATTGGGAGATTTCACATAAAAATATGTATTTATGGATTTTCTTAAAAAATCAGAAGAGTTTCTATCACCGGGCCTGCATTTCTACATGGCAACAATCAGGTGCAGTTGACACAGCAGCAGATTCCTTCACAAGGGCTTTTGGTCACCAATTTGCAATGCATGCATATACACATTTGATTTTGTAATTCTTGGGTTAAGGTTCTAGTTCTGGCATTTAAAAATGCAAACAGCCTATCTATTTAGTTGTTGATCTTTTAAAAATCAAAACATACAGATTACCACTAAAAGGCTTTCTTTGAAACTGAGTAATTTAACAGTCACTTAAATCTTAAGAATTTAAAACATAAATAAACTGTTTTGAATTTTGGACTTACACTTGTACTCTGTGTCATTATTTTCAGTAACAGAATAAATAACATCACCTCAAAACTTCTTTTTTAACAACCTCTTCTTATTACAAAGTATAGACAAATCACACCGTAAGTCTTGCGCTGCTATGCTATTTGCCAGCACAGGCTTTTGTATTCTGTGGTTCTGCATACTCCATTCCGAGTCCTGACAATTTGATGAGAAGAATGCTAGCCCTGATCACTTGTTCTCTGGAACTCCTATTACTTCAGCATGGTATGATAGAAAGAGGATTAACTGGCCTGGAAGGCAGGAGACACAGATATTGATCCTAATTCTGTCACCAGATATGTAAACTAGAGCAAATCACTTGATGTCTAGGGACTCCGATTTTCTCTGCAAATAAGCAGGATTAAATTCCATAATCTCTAATCTTTCAAAACTGAAAAAGTATATGCTCAGAGCTTTTAATATAAACACTTACATCAAGGCACTGGATTATGTCCCTTGATATGGTTATTAAAAGCACAAGATAGAGCACTCCATGTTTTTACCTAAATTACCAGGCACTTGACTTTACATTTAAAAAGAGTTAGAGAAGCCAATAAGAAATTTGAATCTACAATCACAATAGGTTAGACCTGGAAAGGACCCTCAACCATCTACTTTTATAGATATGGAAAAGGAAACCCAGAGAGGTTAGGTAGGAAGAGATGTGTAATAATCACAGAGGTAGAGAATGGGCAGTCAAGGAAACCTGAAGTGGAATTTCAGCTCTACCACTGATTGATTATGTGGCGTTTAGTTCAGTCCTCAATCTCTTTGAACCTGAGCTTGTCTGTCAAAAGAGGAAAATAATATTCACTTCTTGTTAAGGGTATAAGAGAAGGTATTTAAAAGTTTTTTTCAGAGGTCCAAAGTTACTCTGCTGATAGCAAAGTTAGTATTAGAACCCAGAAATGGATCCTAGTGTAGTATTTTTTCCACTCTACCAGTGGTTTTATTACCCTCTCCAGCAGATCTTTTGCTTTCCTTTTTCTGTCCTCTTCCCCTTTACATACAATGAGTATGAAAAATATAACACTTTGTGAAACATGATCTTGCTTTGAACTCAACCACTTCTAGTTTAATCTCACTTATAGTTTTAGTAAAATTTTAAAAGAATTATGTTTGCAAATAAATACTACTTTAATTGTTTAGTACTTAAACCTTTAAGATACTTAATTCACTTAGCTTAATGATGGGGAGGTAAATGAGTGTGAATAAATATTGAATAGAAATGACTAAAACAGGGTAAGAACTCACTGATAAATGAGGGTGGGCATAATTTTCATATCTTTAATTTCATCACTTTTTGAATTGATCTAGAAAGCTACTTGACTTTTTAGATTTAAATGCATAAGGAGTATAATTTGTCAAAGTCCAAAATGAAAAACTCAGTCAAAATCCCCTTCAGTTTTGAAACTCCATGAAAAAAGCTTAGCCTATCTCAAATGACAAAGAAAGGAAATATAAGTACTTACAATGCAAGCGTCACACAAAGGATCAAAGGGCCCCATAAATCCCCTACAAGAAAAGAAAAGACAGAAAATTGTTAAGACACAGGCATATAGCATTTTCTGTCTTTTATTCTGCCATTCTTGGCATTCAGACATTAAGGCTTTCTCTGTCTGCCCAAAGCTTCCACCTCTCCTATCCCTCTATTGGCCTTCTCTGCTCCCCTATTCTGAATGCCCTTCTTCATATATCCTTTAAACTTTGCTCATTTCATACAACACAAAGCACCCCTCTCCCCAGCTACTATGGTAAAGAATCTGCCTGCAATGCAGGAGACCAGAGTTCAATTCCTGGGTCAGGAAGATCCTCTGGAGAAGGGAATGGCAATTCACTCCAGTATTCTTGCCTGGATAATCCCATGGACAGAGAAGTCTGGTGGGCTACAGTCCATGGGGTTGCAAAGAGTCAGACACGACTGAGTGACTAACACACACACCACATACTAAGCCACATTCCAGCAAGCTATCATTAAAGACCAATAGGCAAGGAGTCAGAAAACTTAAATGCCCCACCCTGCACAGTTGGGAAAAAGACTAAAGCCAAGTCACTTCACCAATCTGAGAGTACGTTAGACAAGGCAAGTATAATCAGGCTCACCTCAAAAATATGAAAAATGAAGTGGAGAAGAAGTGATGTGCCCAAGTTAATATAAACACTTAAGTGTGGGGGTAGGACCAGAACCTAGAAACAAAACCAGAATCTTCTGATTCCTACTACAAAGTCCTTTCTACTCTACAACACAGCTTCCCTTTCATAATTACTACACTGAACTAGTACAGAACTGCTGTTCTCATAAAGTGAGAAAACAGCCCAACATTGGTAATTTCAAAGGGTTAAATGTTAACAAATAACATGAAAACTTTTTGAAAACTATAAAGGCTCTGCCGATATCAGATCTAAGCACGGTGGTTCTCAACCAATAGCTGTTGGATGAGTAATACACCAATAGTTCAGTAACATAAAGCTTAAAGCACAATTATCTTCCTCAAATAATATGAATAAGGGTACATACTACTTCTAACTTTAACTTCACTTGTACATAACTTTACCTGAAAGAGTAATTTTGACACCACTGTGGAATGTTTGTAAAAGATGTAAAAAAAAAAAAAAAATCACAATCCTAACACTCTAATAGACTATGTTTACTAGGTAAACAATAAAATTTTCATCTCCCAAACTGAAACTCCAACCTGTTAAACAATAACTTCCCAATACCCCCTCAGTCCCTGACAACCATTTCTATAAATCTCACTATTTTAGGTACCTAACCTAAGCAGAATAATACATATTCTTTTGTGTCTGGCTTATTTTACTTAGCATAAAGTCTTCCAAGGTTCATCAATGTTGTAGCATGTATCAGAATTTCACTCTTTTTAAAGGATAAGTAATATTCCATTCATATATGGTATATACCATGGTGTATATAACATACTTCATTTACTCATCCATCCACTGATGGACGTTTGAGTTGTTTTCATCTGCTGCTATGAACATGGGTATACAAATATCTCTTTGAGTCCCTGCTTTCTATTCTTTTGGGTATATACCCAGAGGTGAATCATGTGGTAATTCTCTACACATTTTTCCAAGGAACCACCATGCTGTTTTTCAGTGGCTGCACCATTTTACATCCCCACCAGCAATGCACAAGGGTTCCAATTTCTCTACATCCTTACCAATATTTGTTATTCTCTATTTCTTTGAAAGAGCCATCCTAATGGATCTGAAGTGGCATCTCATTGGATAAGACAGCTTTTATGAGGAAGAAACTTGAACCTCAGAAAAGTTAACTGTCTTATCCAGGACCACACAGCTTGTGATGGAACCACTATCCAAAATCACACAGCTAGTGACGGAATCACTATTCAAAACCCAGATTTGTCCATGCTCTTTCCATTATATACGAGCTGTAGCAAATCATGTGTTAGCTTCAACCCACAATGTACTTTGCTAAAAAAGTATTCTGACACTGCAGCCAATCACCACACAGTGATGGCACATTTGCCACATATTTGACATCCCTATGTTACAGCAGAAATGCTGCCAAAATAGAAGGTACATGCATATCCAACATCATTGTTACTATTCTCAAACAAATGAGTAATTTTTTTTGATAAATGGTACTAAGAAAAACCAAGAATGTTTGAAAAAAAAACTAAAAGTCTAACAATTTTGAGAATAAATTCTAAACAATAGCATAATTTTCTGCAAAAACTGTTTTGAAACTCTTAAACCAGTCAACAATGATCGTTCTGAAAATAGAAATGTCAATAAAGTACTATTAACTTGTTAATCCTTAGTGGGTATTAGCTATTACTCTAATGTAACATTTTAATATTTTGTCTTTCCCTTGGAGATCATTTAAGTTTCTTGGCTGAACAAAGTCACTACTTGTTTGCCATTTACAGAAATACTTTTTGCAGTGTCTATTACAGCAGGTGAAAATATACAGTCTATATTTATTGATGAAGACAATATATTAAGCAAAATCTTCCAATCTCTGAAATTTCATCCTCAATTTTTAACTTTGTTCAAAAACTTCATCTATAATATATTCATTTACATATTTTTCATCCTGCGAAATGTTATCAGTTTTATTACCACAAAGTCTTATAAATGCTTATGATAAGGTATGATGAAAAACAGCAAAGCCTCAAAAACCACACATACTTACAATCTCTCAAAAGAGTATTACTTTTCCTTGGGTACAAAACATGCATGAATTTTTTCCCAACAGCTTTTAGATCACGCATCTGAAAGATAAAAACAATATGCTGTACTGTAATAACCAAGGCTGCTAAGTAGCCCCTTCAATTTGCTCAATTTTTTAATTTCAATCCCCCTAGGAGCCCTTCACTGAATTTTAGAGCCATAACTCCAGCCTAACTCCTTCACCATTCAAACCAGAGAGGTGGGGTTTTTGTATTAACTACTTTTTCTATTAACTTTTCCTTTAACTCCTAAAGCCAACATCTAACTCTACTACATTCATTAGTTCTGCTGATTTTGATTTTTTAAACTCTGCAAAAGAGAAATATAGCCCTCCTAATATGCTACTTAAAGAAATGAAAATAATAGCACTAGTAAAATCTGTTCTGCAAAACACATCATCTAACTTTCAGTTCACACATGATAAGGTCACAAGAGCCAAAGGGCCTGCTCCTAAGCTACCACACTCTTCACAATATGTAAAATCAATTAATTTTCAACATTCCCATTCATTTTGGCAAAAGAATCCTAGAAGTCAGATTTTAAAAAATCAAGACATTTGAAGAAGGGAACAGTCATTTAACGTCTCAAAATATAGTTGAGGTAATTCTGTCCTAATTTTTTCACCTAGAAATTTCTTCACGTCATTAATAGCTCTTTGAAAACATGATTTTTAATGGTTGTTTACCATTCTATCACATAGATGTAACATAATCTACTTAGCCGATTACTCTTCTGTTCAACTTTTCCCCACTATAAAGACTGCTGTAACAAACATCTTTGTATAAATATTTTTCTTTTAAAATTATCTCTGTATTGAATTTTTTCTCCTTGTACTATACAGAATTATCACCTTAAAAAATGTGAACATTTTAAGTTCTTTAATATCCATTACAGCCAAACTGATTTCCAAAAAGGCTGTACCAAATTATTCTCTAGGGGAGAATCTTAAATTTCAATAAATAAAATACACTGAAAATTAGTGAACCAAACAAAAATATTACAAAGTGCTATTAGTTATTTAGCGTATGACACTGAACAGAAATTCTTTCAACTCATCTAACTTACAATGGTATTCTGAACAGACTCATTTAATGTGGAGTTGTCAAATTCCCGAACGCGCGATCTCACAGGAATGGTGATTTCTCCTTCCACAGGGATGTCTTGTGGGATAGATATATCAGAAAGGCCTGCAAACTGAGAAGAGTTAGGGAAAAAAAATTTAAAGTCTGTGAAATACTGCAGGATTCCCCCAAAGACATCATTTCTCAGTGAGCAGGACTATATCTTTTTACAGGGTTTTATACAGTTTTTAAAGTAAGGTGTTAGTTCACCAAGCATTGAACAATACAGTTAATTAAAATTCTCAAATACTTGTTTCTTTTAAAGAAGGAGATGAAATATGATGAAAAAAATTATCAAGTGGCATAGATATTTTATGGGCTTTCCTAGTGGTGCAGTACGTAAAGAATCTGTCTGCCAATGCAGGAGACACAGGTTTGATTCCTCAGTCAGGAAGATACCCTGGAGAAGGAAATGGCAACCCATTCCAGTATTCTTGCCTGAGTAATCCCATGGACAAAGGAACCTGGTAGGGGGTCAGTCCACGGGGCCACAAAAGAATCAGACAAGACTTAGCAACTAAAACAACAACAATAGATATTTTCTTGGCCTCAAATAGTTTCTTTCAAGCATGAAATCTTAACAGGACATAGCTAGTAAGATTGTAGAACTATTGAAAAAAAGTGACCTTTCAGTGATCACATCTTAGCACTGTCATGATTCTTTTACACTTCTGCTCTTTAGTTAGCTCTAGTGGCCTCTGCTGACTAAGAAGGAACATTATGTAAAATCTAAAAGAAAATTGGGAAGAACATAGAAACAGTAAAGCACATTATTTATCTTGTTTTTTAACAAGATTATTGGCAACCACAGATCAAATAACATTTCCAAAGTGAACTGCAAGACTGCAAACTTTTAAACTCTTACATTCATATGCCAAATTTGATTATTGCGATTGAAACCCTAGAATCTTCAAGTTTCTAAGAAAACAGAAGCAAACCCTACTCATATGGCTCTTGGTCCAATGGGTCTAATGTTTAGTGTACAACAGTTGCAGGTAAATGAAAAACAGTACAGTAAAATTCTAGAATGAATGAGGTTGTTCAAAAAATTTATAAAAAAACAACTTTTTGATCACAGTTTTATTAAACGTACTTGAAAATTCTTCACCCATTAGACTGGCAAAAATCCAAGTTTGACAACACACTCTGCAAGTAAAGCTGAGGGGAAAGAGCACTCATGGTTGGTGGGAAGGCAAAATGGTACTAGGCTCTACTGAAGATGAATCTGGCAGTATCTAGCAAATTTACATATGGATTGCTCACCACTTTTAGGAGTCTAAAGCGGTAAATATACAAAAAGACATATATACAAGGCTCCTCATTACAATACTACCTGTAAAAGCAAAAAAACAAAAACCCTGAGAATAGCCCAAATGTCCATCAACAGAGAATTAGTTGAATAAAGCATGGTATGTCATAATGGAATGCTATGCAGCTGTAAGAGGAATGAGGATATCTCTAAAGAACCATCTGGTTGGCCAAAAAGTTCCTTCAGTCTTAAAGTAAAAATAAAAGACACATTTTTCATCTTCACCAAGAACTTTACTGAACAACGTACTCACCATTTGTTCCACTACCTTCTGCGATTCTTCAGGCAACTACGTAATTCCATCTTCCCAAAACTTTTTATCTTTTTGAGCAAATAACTATTCTAGGTGCCTTTTACAATCTCCTAGGGAATTGAATTTTTTTCCCATTAAGAGAATTTTATAAAGACCAAAATAAATGGAAATCTGAAGGTGCAATGTCTGGTGAATACAATGGATGAATCAGAAATTCCCAGCCAAACAATTATGTTTTTGTCAGGTCATCAAAGAAACCTGAGGTCTTGTGTTACCCTGAGGAAGATTATGCATTTTCTGTTGACTAATTCCGGACACTTCGCCAAGTGCTGCTTTCAGTTGGTCTCACTGGGAGCAGTACTTGTTGGAAGTAATCCGTTGGTTTTCCACAAGGAGCTCATAATAGAGGACTCCCTTCCAATCCCACCATGTACACACTGTCTTCTTTGGATGAAGACCAGCCTTTGGTGTGGTTGGTGGTGGTTCATCTCACTTGCCCCATGATCTCTTCTGTTCCACACTGCTGCACAGTATCCACTTTTCATTGCCCAACACAATTTTTTATTTTTTATTTATTTTTTCATTTATATTAGTTGGAGGCTAATTACTTTACAGTATTGTAGTGGTTTTCGCCATACATTGATATGAATCAGCCATGGATTTACATGTGTTCCCCATCGTGAACCCCCATCCCACCTCCCTCCCCATCCCATCCCTCTGGGTCATCCTAGTACACCAGCCCTGAGTACTTGTCTCATGCATCAAACCTGAACTGGCGATCTATTTCACAATTGATAATATACATGTTTCAATGCTATTCTCACAGATCATCCCACCCTCACCTTCTCTCACAGAGTCCAAAAGTCTGTTCTATACATCTGTGTCTCTTTTTCTGTCTTGCATAAAGGGTTATCGTTACCATCTTTCTAAATTCCATATATATGCGTTAGTGTACTGTATTGGTGTTTATCTTTCTGGCTTACTTCACTCTGTATAATGGGCTCCAATTTCATCCGCCTCATTAGAACTGATTCAAAGGCATTAGTTTTACTGGCTGAGTAACATCCCATTGTGTATATGTACCACAGCTTTCTTATCCATTAATCTGCGGATGGGCATCTAGGTTGCTTCCATGTCCTGGCTATGATAAACAGTGTTGCGATGAACATTGGGGTACACGTGTCTCTTTCAGATCTGGTTTCCTCGGTGTGTATGCCCAG